ACCACCAAGGATTTTTTTTTTAAGCAAAAAAAAAAAAAAAAAAAAAGGTGGAGGGAAGGGTTGGGGGGAAAGTTATTGAGGGGAAAAAAAAGTCAGCTGCCCCTTTAAGGGTGGCCACTTTGAATTCTGTTGTTCTCCACGGCACACCTCTGACTGCCTCGTGGCACACTGGTGCGCTGCGGTACACAGTTTAAGAAACACTGCTCCAGGCAGTATGCCCGCGTGCTGCTGTTCCTCCAGCCTGGGGAGGGGAAGTGCTTCTTCTTCATGAGCCAAATCATGCAGAAAAGCTTGGGACTTTCCCCACGCAGGGAGCCAGCGCTGGTGCTCCAACTTTGTGCGGGAGGAGGGAGGGCGAGGCTGGAACACCAGCACAGGCGCCCCACTGCAGGGGGAAGGAGGGAGGCTGAGCTAAAGGCGTGGACCCCTGTTCTGACAGAGCCCCCTCATGCTTACTTGGGGGACCATAAGGGGTGCGTCCCCCTGCATCCCCCCATGCATAAGGGTCTGGCTGTGCACATACTAGGAATTCTGGAGGTGAGAAATAGCTGCCCCAGAACAAGAGTGACAGTGCACAATCCCATAGTGGCCAAGAACATCGAATGGATCAGAGACACAGGCACGCTACCGAGTGCCTTAGAAAGAATAACATGAAACTAAATGGCGAGCTGTGAGTTGGGGCCCAAACGACGTCCCGATGGGTTTTAATAAGAATTTTGGATGAGTAAGAGGTAGAGGAGCAAATGAGTATGTTGCAAAACGGTGCCACCACCTTGATCTATACTAGGATTAAGGTAGATTAACAACTTTATTAATTACAAAAAAACCTGTATTTAAGCAATAAAAATATGTGCACGTTAATAACATATGCTAGCATTAAATTACTCCCCGAAAAGGTCAGCTAAGAAACAAAACATGAGTTCTCACACACATTCACCCGTATACACACCCTTGTTTCCTTCAGTAACAGATAAACCACAAGTAGAACAATTAGAGAGAAAAGAAAAAACCCTGGCTGTTAACGTCTCCCTGCCTTTGGCAGCACAACTAACATGCTGCAAAGGGCTCAGGTAGGAACTACGTTTGGCCACCGTTGTAGGCTGCTGCCCCATTTAAAAATTTCAAAGGCTTTAGGTGGGATGATTGGCAATTGATGGAGAAGCTACCACAGGGCTCTGTCCCTCAGAACCTGTCTGGGGTTAGCGAGACGTCCTCTCTTGCTGAAATGAAACCAAGCGCCTGGATGTATTCCTGGTCCTGAGACGTCAGTAGCAAAATGGCCACTGAGTTCAGTGGGGTTGAGATTTCAGAGTCAATTGCGAGAGCTGTTTATTTGCAACCCAAGTGACACACCTACCCCAACCCGCCCACCCTGACACAGCGTCACAAGGAACCTGACCAGGTACTTTGGCTGCAACCACCCCCAGTCAGCCCCAGGCTGCAGCTAGAGGAACGGGGCTGATGAGAACGAAGAAAAAGGAAGTGATCTGCTGTCTGTTGGATGAATAGCTGCACTCCTGGGAGAAAGATGGGGAGATTTTCGAGAGTACAAAGGGGAGTTGTGTGCCCAACACCCGTTGAAAGCCCAAGAGTTGAAAGCCAGAAGGGACTGCCTCATCCTTTGGTCTGAGCTCCTGCCTATCATAGGCCACCGACGTCTGCCAGCATCCGCACACTAACCCCAGCAACCGAAATGAGAGTCAAGTGTTAGAGCCTTAACCAGTAGGTGTCACAGGGTGAGAATAGGAGGAGCATCAGTGCCAGAGGGCAGGGTAATGATTAAGTGAGCTAGAACTAGATAATCCTAGCAAGTGGCCCGCACCCCACAATGCAGCGGAAGGTCCAACCACTGCCAATCTGACGTGTGGGGAAATTCCTTCCCAGCCTCCAGTGGGGTGATCATGTGACCCTGAGCATGTGAGCAAGAACCGGCCAGCCAAGTGCCCGAGAGTCAGAACCCTTGGTTCCGCCTCAAAGCCCCGTCCCGTCCTGTCCAACGTCCCATCTCCAGCTGCGATCAGCCCTGATGCTTCAGTGGAAGGAGACCAGCACCCTAAGGTTGCCAGATGGTTTCAACAAAAATACAGGACACACTTGACATGAGATCGCAATAGACATGACATCTTATTTAGAAAATACCGGACAGTTCTATTTTCTCAATTTGTGAATTTTTTTGACCACAAGTTTGTTTGCTAAAAATGCTGTTTCGGTCAACCCCAAAATGTGTGGGAATGTGGCAGGATGTCACCAAATCACTTTGGCCAGGGAGGCTCCATTCAGAACATACCCAGAGGGGAGGACGAGAAGGAGAAGATGGCAGTGGTGCCCTTTGTGTTCTGTGACCAGGATGCTCTCCAGACAATGCCTTGTCACTGGACCATGGGGTATTTGGGCTGGCCTGCTGTGCAATGTAACCCTCATCTTTCCTTAGGCGCCACTTTCATTGCCTTGTGACATCTGACCCCCCATCGGCAGGTTTTTCTCATTACTGCATATTGTGTTGGCCAAACTTTCCCTATATTTTCAGGCATGAAAACCAGCAGGGATTTGAGGTGATCCGATCCTATTCAAGTGAGTATGCATTTCTACAAAGCGCTGTACCTGGAAGAATCTTGTTGCTACAACGTACGGGCCGAGTTTTTCAGGTTACAGTTTTTGCAAGGATACCAATTTGTCTCCCCTCCCTCCCCCGCCCTTCCCTTCACGCCAGCATCCCGCAGTGCAGAGAAGTGAATTCCTGTCTCAGAATAAGGCATTCCAGCCAGGAGAGCAGTGAAGGCCCAACTGACAGAAGCAGAGCCTGAGAATTTCAAAGCAGACTTAAGTGCCTGCTTGAGATTTAGGTGTCGGACGCCCCTGAACACCTTGAAAATCTCAGCTGAAATATTTAGCACCCCAAAGAATCTCTATCGTGAATCTGTATCTGGTCAACATATTGGTGTAGGTGACAGGGTCCCTGCTCCTCAGAGTTAAAACTGCCCCACAAATGACTCATTTATCGTTGCTCTGACACTGCTTCCTGTAGCGCATTTGGTTACAGGCTGACCTTTTGATTTCACCCTAACTGAGCCACCGACTGGGTGGGTTATTAAAGGTCATCGTAAACAAACAACGTGCGGGAAGCCAAGCACTGCAGTCGATCTAAGTCCTTAGACCATCCCGAGTGCAGTAATATCACAGCCCCATCACGTGGCCCCTTGTTCCTTTGAGTCACCTGGGGGCGGGGGGACCTTTCATTTTGATCTTTGCTTCCCTCTCTTGCTGTCCTTCTTTCTTTTTTCCCTTTCCTTTGTCTTGCTTTACATTTTCTAGTCTCTTTCCAGAATTTTAATTATTTTCCCCTCTTCTCTTTATTTCTCCTGTGCTACCATCTTCTGCTACCGCCTCCCTTTCCCCCCTCTTTGGCTGCGTCTAGACTGGCAAGATTTTCCGCAAAAGCAGCTGCTTTTGTGCAAAAACTTGCCAGCTGTTTACACTGGCCGCTTGAATTTGCGCAGGAGCACTGACTTTGTAATGTACAAAATCAGAGCTTCTTGCGCAAATACTTTCACACTCCCGCTCGGGAAAAAGCCCTCTTGCACAAGAATACTTGCGGAAGAGGGCCAGCATAGACAGGGAAGGACTGTTTTGCGCAGAAAAGCCCCAATGGCAAAAATGGCCACCGGAGCTTTCTTGTGCAAAATTGCGCCTAGACTGGCCACGGATGCTTTTGCGCAAAAGCACTTTTTGCACAAAAGCATCCGTGCCAATCCAGACGCGCTTTTGCAGAAATACTTTTAACGGAAAAACTTTTCTGTTAAAAGTATTTCCGCACAATCATGCCAGTCTAGACGCAGCCTTTCTGTTTGGGTTGGGAGGAAAAGCAATCGGAAAGAAAGAAACAAGGAGGGGGATTTGGGCAAAGGAGTCGCACAGTCTGGAGCTGGCTACTGAGGAAGTTCTGTCGTCTGGTTCTTGAGGCGGTTTCCTAGCGACTGGCCACTTGGGAGAGTGTCAGGCTGAGAGAGGGGAAAGTGTTGTGGGTAGCAGGAGCCAGTCCCAGGGAGGGCATAGGACTGACACTTCGGAACGTGACTGGCGTGCTCGGGGCTGCTATTAAAATAAGCAAAGCGCTGTGGGATTGGCTTTTGTGGAACTGGCCCTGTTGGACCCGGAGCCAATTGCATGTCATGTCTCAATAGTGAATTGCAGTAAGGCAGTGTACAGAGCATCCTGGCCACGTCCGTGCTGGACCCCTGGCCAGCTGCAGCAGGAAGGTGAATACCTTTTGCAGCCCTTAGTGTCTCCAGCCGCAATGAGAAGTGCAGAGGGGGGAACAGGCTGCAAAGTGACACGAGGGTCTGACCACCAGGCTCCTGTCAGCGGCGCCGGCGGGGAGCTGAGTTTTCTCTCCACTTTGGTGCTCGTGTACATCCGGGTGCTGATCTCGGAGACCTGAAAGGGGATGCGGTTTGCTGTGAATGCAAATGCAACCGAACTCTGGGCGTACACTATGGATTGCTGGCATTGGAGCCCAGGGCGCAGACTTCCCCAGCAGCTGGAGGGCAACAGTACCGTCTGGGAACAGCCTAGAAGGAATGGATTGGGGTCATCTCCGTAGTTTTCCATTGACTCCTGCAGTGTCTTTAAAATAGGACACGGATAAATAAGGGTCAGCTGTAACCAATGCTGCGCAGAGCTCCAGTCAGAGGAGCTGTCCAATGAGTGCTATTTCTATTGTCCAATGGAATGTGTTCCTAGCCAGAGAAGGATTGACGCAGAAAGGATAGCCTAGTGGTTACAGCAGCCGCCTGGGAAGTGAGAAAACTTAATTCCCTTCTCTGCCACAAATTCCGTAGGGGTATATATACACTGCGCAGCTATTTCAGGATACCGGAGATATCCCAAAATTGCTACCCCGCGTCTTAACAGGCCACCCATTATTTTGAAAAATATTTCCACGAGGATAATAATTCCATGAGGGTTAAGGGATGCAGGAGCGTACTGGCAATCAAAATAGGCCCAGGAAATGGATTGAGAACGGCCCTCTCCATGACGCCCTTCCTGCGTGCCCATCAAGCCCCGCCCCCTGCATCATGCGGCACAGGTGGCGGGTTGGGATCTGTGTGCCGCATACAGCGCAGACATGGAGCCACTCAGAGTGAGGGGCAACGGCGTGTGGACACGACGGCCCACCGGGAAATTCCTGGTATCCCGCCAAGCCAGTCCGCCCCTGCAGGGATGTCTCAAAATAGCACGTTATTTCGCAATTTGGCGCTGTGTAGACATGCCACATTTCAAAATATGCGATTTTGAAATAGAATCAAAATAAGACACAATTTGCGTAGCACAAATCGAGTATGTTATTTCAAGTTCAGGGTGAAGTGTAGCCGCACCCTATGTGAGCTAAGGCAAGTAACTTAGTAGCTCTAAGCCTCAGTTTTCAGTCTGTACAATGTTGGGGTAATAGCAATTCCCAGCTTCACTTGGCTACCAGAGTGAGTGGGGGCAGAGAAATCCTTACTACAGACATCTACAGCTGGGAAGCGGTTTTTATGGTGCGGAGAGAAATGAATTTAAAGTAAACAAAGGTAGACTGCCCAACTTTCATTGACTAATACTTTGTCTTTCTGCAGCACCTTCATCCAAGGAAGAGAGTGAGGGTTTTTAAGCAGTGATCAAAGCCAAACCATCTAAGGAATCTTTAACACGATCTAGGACAATGATAGATGCAACCAAACCTTAGGAGAAGTTGCTATTGGAGCATCTAGGAGAAGTCCGATCTATCATTTGTAGAGAGTGGCCGTCTATATAAAAGATCTGCTAGCAACCTGGGGGTGAAAGCTCACACAGATCTGGAGAAAATGTCAGATAACTTGCAGGGGGAATAGGAACCAACTCAGCTATTAGGACTGGAGCTTCATCCAACATGTATTTGCTTATCCTGGTCTGTCCCTGTTGCTTGTAGACACAATGGCTTTCTGTAGTCATGTCCTTCCTTGGCCCATCCTATGCTTTTAGGGAGGTAATTGCAATAGTTTTGGATATGGTTTAAGCACATGCATGGAAATCTTTTGCTTTTGACTGCTCTGTGGTCAGTTTGAAAATGTCTCCCGTTTCTTTAACCCTCAACCTCTGGTTTTATTTTCCATGCCAGTGACAACGACAAGACAAGATCAAATGGAATGGCCGGAAAATATCCTACTAACGAGGTAGGTGACAAAATCAGATATTTCAGCAAAAACGTGAGTCCCTGGGTTCACCCAAAAGGTGAAGAAGTTGAAGATTTGGGCCCACCTCTGGAGCTGGAGACCGTGGGATGGTCTATATTTAATGTATTGCTTATTCTTGCGTTATGTTCTAAATCTTCTTGATACCTGGCTTCCAACTGTGTTTATAGCACCCACTAGCCTGAATTCTTAAAGCTAAGTGGAGGAAGGAGCTGTCATTGCAGGCAAATTGTGCAGGAGACACTTGACTGTAACCAGTCTGACATAGTGAAGCCTGGACAAACCGATAGGGAACCTACATGGCAGAAATATTGCGGCTCAATTGCATGTGTGTATCCAAATCTTGGATCCCATTCCAAATACTGTACCCCAATTCCCATTTGTTAGTGCTCAAAGTGTCTCCTAGTGCATAGCACCACCAGGGAGAGCTCTGTGCTGGGATGGTGACAGATTTCACTGGGCCCTGGGCAATGTGTATGTGGGGAGGGGCTTAGCTCTGGGACCCCGGGAAGGGGCAGGATCTCAGGCAGACGGGGCAAGGGATGAGCCTCGTCCAAGCCAGCCCTCAGTGCCATCTGGACTGTGCTATGTGGAGCTTTGGCAGCAATTTAAAGGGCCCATGGCTCTGGCTGATGCTTTTACTGTGGCGATAGCAGTGGGGAGCCCCAGACGCTTTTAAATCACCAGGTCCTGAGGCAACCATCTCTTTGCCCTCCCTGTTGGCACCCCTGGCTCTGTGGACCATATTATGGATAGGGTTGCCAGGTGTCCGGTTTTGAACCGGGCAGTCTAGTATATTTGAGCTTTCTGTTTGGGAAAGAAATTGAGAAAATAGGAATGTCCGGTATTTTCTACCTAAGATGTCACGTAGATTGTGATGTGATGTCAAGTGTGTCCGGTATTTTTGTTGAAATACCATCAGGCAACCCTAATTATGGATTACGCAGCCCATTTGTTGGGGGTGCCTCTAATAGGTAGGTCCCTACCAAATTCAGTATCTTTTGGTCAATTTCAGAGTCCATAAATTCCATGATTTCAGCCATTGTGGGGGGGGGTTGTGGTGTTGTCGGTGGGGTTGTGGTATTGCTGCCCTTGCTTCTGTGCTGCTGCTGGTGAGCTGGTGTCTTCAGAACCGGGTGCCTGCCCAGCAGCTGCCATTCTCTGCCCCCCTAAAATAACCTTGTGACCCTCTCTTCCACAACTCCCTTTTGGTTAAGGCCCCCAATTGGAGAAATGCTGGTCTCCCCCATGAGAGTAAGAGCACACCATACCAGATGCCAAGTGGGAGAGACCAGGTTTCATGGTCTGTGACATGTTTTTCATGGCCATGAATTTGGTAATAGCCCATATTTAATCTGGTGATTAGAAACGAGATTTTTTGCTGCTGTCCAGTGTGAATGGCTAGTATTCCAGGCACAGACCAGCACTGCGGGAGAAATGGTATTTGCAGGAATCTGTTACATTAATAAGTTGTTCTCTTTCAGGAAAACCAGTAAGGACCTCCAGGCCACAAGTACAGAAGGTAGGTATTTATACAAAGGCATCCATTTCTTTCCACCTTTTGTTATCTGTCCTGCATGGATTTTCACCCCAATCCAAAATTAGTAAATGTTTATTATTAAGGATGTTAAAATTAGTTTAATCAACGAATCGAATAGCCGCGGCAATTTCCATCGACTATTCGATTAGTCGATAAGGGCGCTTGCACTTTCAAATGTAGCAAGAGCCCACTGGTCTGTTGCTACACTTCACAGTGCCATGCGGTGTTCCGCCTTTGAAATGTACACGAAACCCAGCAGGGGCTCTTGTGCATTTCGAAGACTGAAACGTGGCACGGAGCTTGGAGTTGTGGAGGGAACTCTGTCCCCCGCTGGCCCCAGGCTCCATGCGGCGCTTCCACTTGGCAATGTACAAGAGCCCCAGCAGGAAGTCCTGTACATTTCCAAGGTGGACCACCACCACTGTGTCCCTACCTCCTCCCATGGAGCTGGAGCTGCAGGGAGCCGGCTTTTAAGCCAGCTCCCCCGAGCATCCCCTCCTCTTCCCGCCCTTTGCTGCTGCTTTCCAGGTTCATCTGACCCCTGCACTCCCCAGCCAGAGCGAGGAATGCAGCAAAGTGAGCACGTTCCCCTTGCTCCCTGGTGAAGGGGAACAGCCAACAACGTTCCTGCACAAATTGAGGGGAGCTTCAGCCACCTCCACTATGGGCGGCCAGTATGCTAGATGAGGGAAGGGAGTGGAGGGAGTTTTTGCTTCTTTGGCTCCCTGTGTAGCTAGGGTCCACTCACAAAAGCAGCTTGCCTGCCATGGCCTCCCAGGGTTCTGTCAACAGTTTTGAGGACCCCACAAATATTTAGTGAATTTATCCCCAACCCCTCTGTTGAAGTTGGTCTGTGATTATCCTCACTTTACTGAAGGGGAACTTGGACGCCAACGGTGAATGATATTCAAGCTCACACAGGAAGTCTGTCCTAGAACCAGGGCCGGCCCACAACATTTTGGCACCTGAGGCGGGGAGCTCAAATGACACCCCCATGTCCCCTCGCTTGGGCCAAAACGTTGAAAGGTCTCAATTCTCTGGGTCCTACTGGCACCTCTCCCAGTCTGGCACCTGAGGCAGCCGCCTCAGTTCGCCTCCTGGTAAGGCCAGCCCTGCCCAGAACTGCAATCGAAACAAGCTGTCCCGAGTCCCAGACCAAGACCTTGACCCTAGCACTAGACTCTCTATCCAGGAGTGGAGTTTAGCACGAGCTTTCTAGAGAAGCCGTTGTATTGCTCCTTTTGGTTTGGGCTCTAAGCTTCTGCTGCGATAGTGCGCTATCTTGAGTTTCTGTTTTGACTGCAGTGTAGCACTGGGCTGATGATGATAGTGATTCTTCCTCTCTCACCCCCAAATCTATTTCCTGGTTGGTGATCTTGGGTGGCTCTTCCCTTTAGTACATTTCCCCCAAATCGGTCCCTTGTTCCACAATCCATTATTTTCTTTCTTTCTATACTGTGCTCTATTTCAAATCTGGTGGCTCACTTGCCTCTGAATCTAATGCCATAGCCCCTGTACTTGCTGGCTAGCAAATCATGGCAACCATACAATATCGACATGTGCTCTCTTCTAGGTGACAATGGTGAGCCTAGATACCAGAATTTCATGAGAGGTAAGGGTCCACCTCCCTCCTGCAATGTAATTCAATCAGGCTAAGAATATGGAGGACAAAATTCTGTGAAGTCAGTAGAACTTGCACCTACATATAGTTCTAGTCCCCTGTTTAATAAGGGGAAAATGAAAAGCTGCGATTCCCGGCTTTATTGTACATGGGTGTTTCCACGTTCTAAACCAGGATTAGATGTGAGGTCACCGGTGGCAGCGACATCACCTTTTTATTCCTGACTCTATTGTGAGTGGAGAATCGACATTCGTATGTGGGCTGGCTTCGCTTTGAATGGCTAGCCATGCTCTGCTAGTATTCAGCTGTGTCAGGGTGTTTTAGGCTACAAAGTGTTCCCCAGCTGCAAAATGGGGGTCCAAATACCCTCTTTCTCCAACGCTGCCTGTCCTGTCTATTTAGATTGTAAGAGTTTGGGGACAGAGACTGTAGCAAAACAAGCTCTAATTCTTAGCCGGAGCCTGGGTGGTACTTGAACATAAATCATTAATAAATCTAGAGGTAACAGGAAGAAGGGAACTCTGACCATCGAAATTCCCTTCACTCGTATTTTATTCTTTAGTGAAGAAGTGGGTTGTGCCCATGAAAGCTCTTGACACCATCTACGTGTTTTGTTAGTCTCTTAGGGTATGTCTAGACTGCATCCTTTATGCAGGAGGCATAAAGGATCTGTCAAAAAAGGCTTTCTTTCTCAACAGATCCCCTCTAGACTGCCGCTTTTTGCCGACAAAGTGCTGAGTCAGCAAAACGCGGCGACCATTTTTATGCAAATTAGGCGCGGGATATTTAAATCCCTGCCTCATTTGCAAGGTCAACCTGCCTAATCTGCATCCCTCTGATGACAGAGGGATGCAGTCTAGACATACCCTTAGGCGCTGAGGGATGCAGTCTAGACATACCCTTAGACGCTGCAGGACCATTCGTTGTTTACGGTTTTTTTTTTTTTCCTCCAGGAATATTTTTTTTTCTCCAGGAATATAGTAATTATCCTGGTCTTGAGGTCTCCAATCGCACAGCTCTATGAAGGGCACTTTATCTTTGGAGGGAGGTGGGACCGATCAGGCAATAGCCATTGTGATCCAATGACACAGCAAAGTAGCCATCACAAAGACCAGAGCTGATCATGATGGAGCCCAAACGAGGCTGTTGTTCTGTCTAGAGGAGCTCATCAAATCCGTCTAACTATTTGTGCCCCTTGACTAAGCCTCATGGACTGTTGGTATAATCTAGACTAAATTACTCCATATATAAAACAGCTCTCCTTGCATTTTCCTTCTAGGGGCCCTTGCAGTACATCTACCTTCGCATCTACATGCTGTCCCTGCTATAAGATGTCCTGGTATACATCCATTCCGCACGAAAGTCGTTAATGCTTGTAGGAGCGGATGTGCTATAGGTCCTCCCATTCCCCACTCTTAAGTTGTGCAAACCCCCCCAAAAAACTAATTTGCAGAAATGGAAGTCAGTCGTGGGAAGAAATTCCCTGCTTTCAGTTGTTTCGCTTGGAGTCCAACTTTTTTGGAACGTCACTTGGACTTACAGTGAGGACGGCCTGTACACTGAATAAAACTCCCACGCTTAGCCCATATCCGCAGCCTGGGGTTGGCGGGACCTTGAGCTGCGGAGCTGTAGAACTGTCATGTAGATGTTCAGGGGTGGGCACCCTTCATGGGGTGTCAGAGGCCAACCTTCAGCCCAAGATGAACGTCTGCGCTGCAGTTGCACAGTCCTGCGGCCTGGGCCTGGCAAGCCCAAGGCAGCAGACGTGGCTGGCCGCAGGCGGTTCATTGCCATGGAGATGTGCCCACAGCGACCGGTCCTGCTCCCACGAAACCCAATTGCGAAACGAGCATTGAATTCAGGGCTAAGTGGGCCCGCCGGGTTCAGTTCAGGTGTGTCAAGCCGGATGCCAACTCCTCTGAACCTGCCCACGCGCCTCTTCTGAGGTGTCTGAGCTGCGGGCTTGAGCGCGAGGCAGCCGATGCCTTTGGGTCAGTTCACTTGGAACTTTCCGGGCAGGGCCATAGAAAGCGACAGGGTGGGGAGAGCAGAGAACCGCCAAGCCAAGAGAGCAGCCTGTGCAACCGTACGTGGGGAGAGAAGGGTTAATTCTTCAGAGGCGAGAGACACACAGCCCCAGTAAACTGAGCGAGACAGGAAAGAGCTGAAATGCTGCCTGAGGGAAGCAGCTGCCTCCAGACCTTCCTGGAGAACCTAACTTGGCCCTTTCCGCAGGACGTTTTTGAATACCCTTGTGTTAACTGGTGTCCCTGTGCGCTCCTACGTGTATGGCCCTTTTCTGCGTCAGCTTTGTGACTTTATTTTGACTTTGTGCTGGGAGAAATGCCTGAGTCTGTGTTAATTGCAAATGACTTGTACTTGCAGAAGACAGCCAGGAGTTGGATGCAGCCTATGTGTAAGTTGATCTCCCTTTCATCCACCAGTACCTTGAATCTAATCTCTTTAGTTGCCCCCGCTAATTGTAGCTTTGATTTGTAGGCTGTTCCTGTGGGGTTAGTTCATCTTAAAGAGGAAACTAAATTCCTAAGATCTGGGTTCTAAACCACTGCTTTGACGATCGTGGCATCCTTGCTTTTTCGTTACCCGGATTGTAGAGTGCTCTGTTCATTTCACACCTTCTAGAATACCTTGCAGGGGGCCATGTTACTATGAGCCATGGTTCCTGCCACGAATAGTCACTTGCAGTTGCGATTACTTGTAGCAGAGTATGTGCCTATTGCAAGATCTCAGGACGGAAATGAAAAAACTGTCATAAGCACTTCTCAGTTTGTCATGAATAACCTATAGGAAGCCGGGTGCCGCATAGCAGGATATATGCACACAGAGCATGTATTTCATGTCCCAGTTCTGCAACGGCATCTAACTCAGAGGCTATGTCTAGACTACAGAGTTTTTTCGATAAAAGGGGCCTTTTATCAAAAAATCTTCACCTGCGTCTAGTCTGCCATCGTGTTCTTTCGAAATTAAATCAAAAAAACACGGCAGTTTTTCCGACATCAGTGAACCTCATTTTACAAGGAAGAATGCCTTTTTTTGAAAGAGTTCTTTCCAAAAAAGGCATTCTTGAATGCCAACAGGGCTTTTTTGAAAGACAGCGTCCAGTTTGCCTGGGTGCTCTCTTTCAAAAAAAGTGGATCGCTTTTTCGAAAGTCTTGTGGCTGTCTAGATTATCTTTCGAAAGAGGCTTATAGTCTAGACATACTCAGATTGACCTCCGCTGTATCATCCTAGCCTGTAGTGCAACTCACACCTGAGTAGGGAACTACACAAGGCAGAGGCTGGATAGTATTAGAACCAGGAGACAACAGGCTTGGTTCAAGAATGACATTGGACAAGGAGCTGTTCACCTACATTACAAGAAGGTGTGACAGACTTCGTGACACCAATTGAGTGTGTGTGGCAGTGACTGTGCATGTGTGGCACAGACTGGGTGTGTGTGACAGTGACACAGAGTGTGTGCTGGCTGCTGCTGGGTAAGTTTCTGAGAGACGCCACGCGCTGTCTCTTTAAGACAGGGAAAGCTGTCCTGCTCTGTTGCCTCCCCCTCCCCCGCTCTGCAGAGGGGTGTGTGTGTGTGTGTGTGTGTGTGTGCGCGCGCATGCACAAGCACTGAACTCTTAGGAACAGGGCCCTGCCTCTTAAGACAGGCTCTCCCCCACGTCACTCACCATCCATGCTTCAGATTGGTGCAGCTCTGTTGTGTCTCTCCCTCCCCCCACCCCCTGCTCTGCAGAGATGGGTCCAGCAGCAGGGGGACACCCTGACTTCAGCACTCCCCTCACCCCTCCCCTCTGCACAGCTACCAGGAGAATCTGGGAGCAGCTGGGCTGCAGGGTAGAGCAAGGTAGATGCCAGAAATCTGCACCTCTGCTCAGCAGCTGGGCAGGCCAGAGAGAAATGCTTGACTGGCCGCATCCAGTCCCCAGACCTCATTTTGCCCACCCCTGCTGTACGGCTCTTCCCAATTGATTTGGAGCCATGGGTGGCTGGGAACTGGAGGTTCCAGGCCCGCAGGCGGTTCATTGCCATGGAGATGTGCCCACAGCGACCGGTCCTGCTCCCACGAAACCCAATTGCGAAACGAGCATTGAATTCAGGGCTAAGTGGGCCCGCCGGGTTCAGTTCAGGTGTGTCAAGCCGGATGCCAACTCCTCTGAACCTGCCCACGCGCCTCTTCTGAGGTTTCTGAGCTGCGGGCTTGAGCGCGAGGCAGCCGATGCCTTTGGGTCAGTTCACTTGGAACTTTCCGGGCAGGGCCATAGAAAGCGACAGGGTGGGGAGAGCAGAGAACAAGGAGCAGCAGAGTCTCGGGGGGAAGTCCAGGGCCCCAAAGCCAAGAGAGCAGCCTGTGCAACCGTACGTGGGGAGAGAAGGGTTAATTCTTCAGAGGCGAGAGACACACAGCCCCAGTAAACTGAGCGAGACAGGAAAGAGCTGAAATGCTGCCTGAGGGAAGCAGCTGCCTCCAGACCTTCCTGGAGAACCTAACTTGGCCCTTTCCGCAGGACGTTTTTGAATACCCTTGTGTTAACTGGTGTCCCTGTGCGCTCCTACGTGTATGGCCCTTTTCTGCGTCAGCTTTGTGACTTTATTTTGACTTTGTGCTGGGAGAAATGCCTGAGTCTGTGTTAATTGCAAATGACTTGTACTTGCAGAAGACAGCCAGGAGTTGGATGCAGCCTATGTGTAAGTTGATCTCCCTTTCATCCACCAGTACCTTGAATCTAATCTCTTTAGTTGCCCCCGCTAATTGTAGCTTTGATTTGTAGGCTGTTCCTGTGGGGTTAGTTCATCTTAAAGAGGAAACTAAATTCCTAAGATCTGGGTTCTAAACCACTGCTTTGACGATCGTGGCATCCTTGCTTTTTCGTTACCCGGATTGTAGAGTGCTCTGTTCATTTCACACCTTCTAGAATACCTTGCAGGGGGCCATGTTACTATGAGCCATGGTTCCTGCCACGAATAGTCACTTGCAGTTGCGATTACTTGTAGCAGAGTATGTGCCTATTGCAAGATCTCAGGACGGAAATGAAAAAACTGTCATAAGCACTTCTCAGTTTGTCATGAATAACCTATAGGAAGCCGGGTGCCGCATAGCAGGATATATGCACACAGAGCATGTATTTCATGTCCCAGTTCTGCAACGGCATCTAACTCAGAGGCTATGTCTAGACTACAGAGTTTTTTCGATAAAAGGGGCCTTTTATCAAAAAATCTTCACCTGCGTCTAGTCTGCCATCGTGTTCTTTCGAAATTAAATCAAAAAAACACGGCAGTTTTTCCGACATCAGTGAACCTCATTTTACAAGGAAGAATGCCTTTTTTTGAAAGAGTTCTTTCCAAAAAAGGCATTCTTGAATGCCAACAGGGCTTTTTTGAAAGACAGCGTCCAGTTTGCCTGGGTGCTCTCTTTCAAAAAAAGTGGATCGCTTTTTCGAAAGTCTTGTGGCTGTCTAGATTATCTTTCGAAAGAGGCTTATAGTCTAGACATACTCAGATTGACCTCCGCTGTATCATCCTAGCCTGTAGTGCAACTCACACCTGAGTAGGGAACTACACAAGGCAGAGGCTGGATAGTATTAGAACCAGGAGACAACAGGCTTGGTTCAAGAATGACATTGGACAAGGAGCTGTTCACCTACATTACAAGAAGGTGTGACAGACTTCGTGACACCAATTGAGTGTGTGTGGCAGTGACTGTGCATGTGTGGCACAGACTGGGTGTGTGTGACAGTGACACAGAGTGTGTGCTGGCTGCTGCTGGGTAAGTTTCTGAGAGACGCCACGCGCTGTCTCTTTAAGACAGGGAAAGCTGTCCTGCTCTGTTGCCTCCCCCTCCCCCGCTCTGCAGAGGGGTGTGTGTGTGTGTGTGTGTGTGCGCGCGCATGCACAAGCACTGAACTCTTAGGAACAGGGCCCTGCCTCTTAAGACAGGCTCTCCCCCACGTCACTCACCATCCATGCTTCAGATTGGTGCAGCTCTGTTGTGTCTCTCCCTCCCCCCACCCCCTGCTCTGCAGAGATGGGTCCAGCAGCAGGGGGACACCCTGACTTCAGCACTCCCCTCACCCCTCCCCTCTGCACAGCTACCAGGAGAATCTGGGAGCAGCTGGGCTGCAGGGTAGAGCAAGGTAGATGCCAGAAATCTGCACCTCTGCTCAGCAGCTGGGCAGGCCAGAGAGAAATGCTTGACTGGCCGCATCCAGTCCCCAGACCTCATTTTGCCCACCCCTGCTGTACGGCTCTTCCCAATTGATTTGGAGCCATGGGTGGCTGGGAACTGGAGGTTCCAGGCATGAGGCAGGTGAGGAGGATTTTGCTCCAAGTGCACTCTCAGACAGGAAGTATCTAAACGGGGATGTTTTCTCTTTTCCAGCAGCCCCATAGCTACAGATTACTACAACTGTGGGAAATTCTTGAGACCTCCAAATGGTACGTTTGCAAGACAGATCCATGAATGGCTGTTTCTTCAAGCAGCTTAGGGAAGACAAAACAAGTGAAGTATTGCCAGGGTTTGGGATGAAGTGAAAGCAGTTCTTACCTCTCCCCTTTGTTACCGCATGGTTTTGCCAGATACTTTCACAAAAAATCCCGGACATAGCAGGGGGGGATGGAGGGGAGGAATTGCTTGAGTGAAAAAAGGTCACTGCACCTTTAAATCTCCCCGCTCCCCCCGCCAGACATGGCAGGGAAAGAATATCCCCACCGGCCTTCTGTCCGAGAAAAACAGAAAATACTGGACATTTTGCATGTCCAGTATTTTCTGGTTTTTTTAACAGATAGGGGCCACAAATACAGACTGTCCTGGTGAAAACCAGATACCTGGAAACCCTGTATGGTTTGGCACCATTTCAGTTAGGGAAGAGCAGACATGTGGCTCCGGGGCAGCAAAGGGTTAAAAGTGATTGTGGCAGGCAGGGGATACAAAAGACGTGGGTGGGGTACAGAGCGCGACACTGCTGAAAAGCTGAGGCATGCTGCAGGGCTATGGCCAGAGGCTACACTTCCGTGCAAGTCGGCGGCTTGATTTTCATGAAGCCCTGGTTTAATGAGCCACGTGCAGAGCATTGCCTGGAGCCATGTGTGGCCCAGAGCTCAAGTCCTGAACGTTGGAAGGTGATGCTGTCTACCCCCGCCTAACAGTAGCAGAACCGAGTGTCTTAGTGGCCTACGAATAGGTGGTGCAAACAAGAGCAGCCCCAAGCTAAAGTAAATCAGGAAAGTGATGTGGGCATGGATGACCTGTACTAAGCGTAACCCACACACCTAGGCTATGTCTACACTGTGCCCATTTGGCACAAAAAATATGCAAATGAGGTGGAGTGTGGACTATCACCGCACCTCATTTGCATCATTAATGAGGCTCCATTTCTGCGCAAGAGCTGTTCTTCTGCATTTTTTTCAGGAAGAATGGCTCTTGCGCAAAGGCCTCTTGTGCAAAAAAGGAGCCTCATTAATGATGCAAATGAGGTGCAGCGATATGCTACGCTTTGCCTCATTTGCATATTTTTTGTGCAAAATGTGTGCAGTATAGACCGAGCCCTAGTGTAGGTCACTATCCCATATAGTAGCACTTAGACCACTTACAGCGAGAGATAAGAACAAGAGAGATCTACAGCCTGAGTAAGAGCCACTACACTAAGCTCCAGAGGTCCCAGGTTCAAATCTGCTCTGCAGCTTCATAAGCATCTTACCAAGGCATGGTTAACCCTGGAATTCCCTGTGGCAGCTGGCTGTCCCAGAATTGTTTCTCAAACATGCATGATTCTGTGTTCTCCTAAAACCTGAATCTAAGCACAGGAAGGTGTTTCCCCCAGGGTGGGCCCAGATGCCCTAGACGTTCATGCATGTGCTCTACCCGTATGCATGGTGAGTAACCCTAGTCGACTTGCTGAAGGTGTGAAGCTACTCCCCGGAGCAAACGCCTGCAGCCCGGGGCTGATCACAGAGCTCTCCCCCTCAGAAGCAGTCCCCCCCGGCAGGAAGTGGGCCTGCTCTCGTGAGTGAGGGATGCAGGACTGTGCCTCAGACCTTGCCTGTTAAGAACATAGATCCTAGGAGCTTTGATTAGAGCAGGGCTCTCAGCCTCCTTCCCAGTGTAGGCTCTCTGGGCAGCTCTCCGTGCGATGTGGGCCGCATCCACACACTGTATAGCAGGGGCTCAAACTCCTAGCCGGTGGGACATACCTAGCCTGAGCAGCTGCGCAATCCAACCCGGGGGTCCCAGCTGGGCGGGAGGGGGAAGAAGGCTGGCTGTTCCTGTTCCCCAAATCCCACCTCTTCCCACCACCGCCCCCCCCCTTGGAACTCCAAGGCCCAAGGATGCGGCTTTGGGAATTGCCCCAGGGGGTTGGCATGGGGTGGCAGCAGCATTTTAGCCCAACCCACGCTGCCTGAGGTGGGATGTGTCATGAGGAAGTGGAGCACAGTAGAGCAAGTGCACCCGCTGAGTGTGCTAGCTTCCCCAAGGGGGACCTGACTGCTGCAGCCATCCTGTGCCAAGCCCCTCCCGCCCCCCACCGCAGTAATCCCCAAAGCCACATCCTCGGGGGGATTAGGTTGCCAGATGGTTTAACCAAAAATATTGACCCCCCCCCCCAAAATAAACACCGGGAAAAAATTCTGTTGAGGGGAAAAAAAGGGGAGGCCAAAGTTATTGAGAAAAAAAATCCGACAGCAGTTAAGCAAAAAATAAATAAAAATTAAAAAATAAAAAATCAGCATGGCCCCTTTAAGAAGAGGCTTTTTTACCAGCGACCATTTTGTTTTTCTGTTCCAGTCACAAGACATTCCCGTGTGGAACCAGGTAAGCGGGGAGGAGGGGGAAGCCTGGTGATGGGGCTGAGGGCTGGGCCCGGTTGCTGAGCATGAGGGTTGCCAGGTGTCTGGTATTTTTGCCTCCTGGCAGGGAAAACCCCCCCAGAAAATACCAGACATTTTAGGTGTCCGGTATTTTCTGAGTCTTTTACCAGACAGGAGCAAAAATACCGGACAGTCCGGGTCAGTACCGGACACCTGGCAACCCTACGGGGATGGGGTACCATGAGGGGGAGAGGAGGGCAACGGCAGGAAGGGGCGGGGCTTGGAGCACAGGAACAGACAAGTTGCAGTGGGAGAGGTCTAGGTTGGATATTAGGAAAAACTATTTCCCTAGGAGGGCGGAGAAGCACTGGAATGGGTTCCCCAGGGAATCTCCATCCCTGGAGGTTTTTAATTCCTGGCTTGACAAAGCCCTGGCTGGGATGGTTTAGTTGGGGTGGGTCCCGCTTTGAGCAGGGAATTGGACTGGATGGTCTCTTGACGTCTCGTCCAGCCCTAGGATTCTATGATCCCACTGGGACACCAGGGCTGGATTGGACAACTGCTCCAGCCAGGGATGGCGCATGGGCTGGGAGTTTGAGACCCCTGATGTACATACGATGTGTATGGCCCTGAGGATGTCACAGGAGCTGCAGCTGAGCACTGATAGGGCTGTCAGTGGCCCACATGCAGCAGGTTGAGAACTGCTGGTTTAAGGAGACATTGACTTAATGGGGCTCTCTGCAGCAGGCGCAGCCAGTCTCCTTGCAGGATTTAAAGCTCTTCAGGGCAGAGAGTGATAGAAATGTAGTCGTGTTAGTCTGGTGTAGCTAAAACAAAATACAGGACTATGTATGATATTTGATTTGTCCTTTTCATATGTGTTCATTTTTTTAAATTGTATCCTTTGGTATATATGGTTGATCTGAGGAAGTGGGTCTGGCCCATGAAAGCTCATCACCTAATAAACCATCTTGTTAGTCTTTAATGTGCTGCGTAGTTCTGTATTTTGCTTCAGGGCAGAGGCTGCTGTTGTGCAGTCCTATGAACAGCGAAGCTCTGACCTCTAAGTGATAATATCACACAAACAAACAACATCTAATAATCCTAATCAGTAGGGTCCAGTAACTCTGTCCCCAAATTGCCTCTGCAAAACTGAGTCCTGTAATATACTTTAAACAGAAAGAGGTATTGAATACACATCCTTTAGAATCCAAAAAAGGGCTAACTAATTTTAGCCTGTCACTAGAAGAAGGATGTGGTGTAAAGACCATTAAAATACTCGAACTTTTGTTATAACAATTGTCCTTTTAGTTATACAGGCAGTCCCTGGGTTACATGGATCCGACTTACATCGGATCCCTATTTACAAATCGGGTGAGGCAACCCCGCACTAGCTGCTTCCCCCCAGCAGACCAGGGAGACGTGGAGCGGCTTTTCTCAGCAGACACCTCAGCTTGAAAATAAAGGGCTGAGGGAAGTGAGGTGTGGGAGAATAAAACTGAGCTCTGGAGAAATGTTTGGCTAGAGTTTCCCCTACAATATGTACCAGTTCCGACTTACGTACAAATTCAACTTAAGAACAAACCTACAGTCCCTATTTTGTACGTAACCCGGGGACTGCCTGTATTGTACTAAAATTGTTCTGCATTTTGCTTCAGCTACCCCAGACTAACACGGCTACATTTCTGTATTGTACTAGTTACTGTAAGAGTTACCAGAGATTGTGACTCCATTGTGCAAGGTCATACACAATGGCAGAGTTTGCCTCAAAAACCTGCAATCCAAGGAATACCTTTAATTCTTTTGTTTTTCTAATTCACAAAACTAGTGCTTGAGAACTGTGTGAAAATTACGGGTGAGAGAAGAGTCACAAAATCTAATGGGAAAATGTATGAATTCGTCCCAAGACGCGTATGTGAGGAAGTTCTGTGAAATGGCCATTTGTATAGCCCAATGTGTTCAAAGTGGATCTGAAATGTTATCTAATTCAGACACCATTTTTGGATAGTCCACTTTTTTATCCAAAGTTCAAAACTTTACACTTGTTTTCCAAACATGGTCTTACTTTTGTGGAGGAAAAAAAGAAAAGCATTCCTAGGTGTTTCCTTTTTTGGCAACAATGTAATACTATTTTGAGGGAAAAAATAAATATGAAAATCCTGTATGTTGAGGTTTTCATGCTACTTAGAGCTGTTGTATGAATTTCAGGCACTGTAACAACTAGCATCATATTTAATTTTAGCTACTAGAGGTGCCTAAGAACTACTAATGCATTTCACTTCTGATCTGCTACATTCTTACATACTATAGCTCTGGGTGTTCCTTGAGCAGAGAACCTCGGTGGTGCTCTGATGCTGGCAACATATCAACTGACTTAATTAGCCTAGCCACTTCCCTTTTGTGCCATGGGGAAGGATTAAAGCAAGATGGAAAGTGACTGGCATCTCTATTTGCATGAGTATCTGCAGAATCTTCCTAACTTAGATGTGGTGACCACATCAACTGTTCAAGCTTCAGTTACATTTTCTGCCTCTGTGGATGTATGTTTCGGGTAGTAAACTGCAGACAGTTTCTCGTGTGGTTTAACTGTCCATGTGTAGCATGCCTGCTTTGTACAGGGGTTCTAATTATACATATTATTAAAGCCTGCATTTGAACCTTCCTCTCCGCCATTAGCCTGAGCCGTGGTGCTAGTCTGAAAATAGACAGTGAATGTGAGCTGAGGCAATGGGAAGTTGCTCATCAAGTGGAACAGATTCTTCAAAGCACACAGTTAACAAACCGCATATAGCGCTTACTCGTTCCAGTACATATATACTAGGGCCAGCTGGTGATCTTACATGGTGTAAATCCAGAGTAGTCCCTGGAGTTCCATGTTGAAGTTGAAATCAAGCCTGTAGGTTGTACCTATTAATTCAAAAGCAATCTTAGCTGATGGCTGACTCTGTATTCCTGTAGGGTCTGGGTGTTCAGGGCTTTTAGCACTCCAGAAAAGAGGTGGCTTGCTTTATTTTAAGCACTGTTCAGAATACATTCATGTGAGCACAGCAATTTAGTTGGATAATTGATTAAGTAAGGCAATGGGACTACAATAATTCCTCATTTAACACGTGCCCGCTTAACACGTTTTCGTGATAGCACGATTTTTTTTAAGGGAACGTTTTGAATTACATGACCGTCTCCTGAATAACACGATTTCCCCAGCAGGCCCGTTGCCGGTGGCTGCGCAGGGCTTCCCCCGCCTTCCTGCAAAGCACCAGAAGGTTCGCCGCTCGCCGTGCCGTTCCCCGCTGACTCCCCCTCTCCTCCACCCCCACTTGCAGGCTGGCGGCTGAGTTTCCCCAGCTGGCCCATCGGCGGCTGCTTCCCCCACTTCCCTGCAAAGCGGCGGAGGGTTCGCCACTTGCCACACCGTTCCCCGGCGACCCCTCCTTGCCGGACGCGGTGCGGGTCCCAGCAGACCCGTCACAGGGGCATACTCCCAACCCAATCCCCCTCCCTTCTCCTCCCCTCCTTTCCCCAGAGCCAAACACCTCCCCTCCCTGCTGTAACCCAGTCCCCTTTCTCCCCCGACCTTATGTCCAGGTCCCAACAGACACAACCGATTGAAACACAACCCCCATCTTTTCCATTATTTTCAATGGGAAAATTGACCCCACATAACACGTTTTCACTTAACATGATAATTTTCTGAAACATATCTGTAGTGTTAAATGAGGAATTACTGTATCCAGATGTCCCTGAGGCCATCACCGGAAGAGAGGGGTGTTTCTCAAGGGGTTAATTTGGTCTGTAGCACCTTCATAACTAGTCATGATGTGTGAGTTGGAAAGATCCCAGGATGATTCTCAGTTTCCAGAGTGATTAGCGGGGTTGGGCATAAGAAACATATCTTTTAAAACCAATCATCAGTGCCCCTTTGATCTGGAAGCCACAGACTGGGTGAACTCTTGAGAGCAGATGTGGTTGCATCATCTCAAAAAAGATATCTTGGCATTGAAAGAAATTCAGAGAAGGGCAACAAAAATGATTAGGTGTTTGGAATGACTGCCTGCCCTATGAGATGAGATTAATAAAACTGGGAGTGCATAGTCAACCTGTGGTACTCCTTACCGGAGGATGTTGTGAAGACCAGAACTTGAGCAAGGTTCAAAAAGAACTAGATAAACTCGTGGAGGATAGGTCCATCAATGGCTATTAGCTAGGATGGGTAGGAATGGTATCCCTAACCTCTGTTTGTCAGAGGCTGGAAATGGGTGACAAGGGGCACCCATCTCTTCCTGTGATGGCTTCAGGGACATCTGTTTGTTCCCTCTGGGGCACCAGGCATTGGCCACTATCAGAAGACAGGATACTGGGCTTAGCTGGACCTCTGGTCTCGCCTGGTATGACCGTTCTTGTGTTCTCCTAACTGACAGTAAACACTGACACTTCTCAATGGCTTTCTTTTTTTAAGACCAGGTTCATAGTAGGCAGCACTTCAGAGATTTGTAATAGACTTTAATATATAGATTGTCAATTCAAATCCTGTCCAGGCTGGTCATCATGGAAATTTATTCTATAATGATTTGTTTGTGATAGTCTCTCTCCAGCCAATTCACTGTGAGTAGCATATACCTCGATAGCTGTCAAAATTGCATGGTGACGAAAGCTATCAAGGTATATACTACTACTGTGAATCTGTGTCCTTGTCCCAAGAAAACCATCACAGCTGAAACCTTTAATATTAATATCTG